TGGGAATACAGGAGCACACATGCCCTCTGATTGGTGACCACATTTATCACCGATAAGGAGAAGTGAGGGGAAACAGCATTGAAGCTGTAAGCTAAGCCCTACAACGTTCAGTAGACTCTTGCAAACCTGGGTGGAGACATGGTCGGCCAGCAGTGTGGCAAAACCTGGGGACTCAGGCTCAGAGTCAGTGACATAGCCACAGAGGACTAAAGTGGAGAGTGAAGCAACCAGCTGACAAGAAGAGAAGGCATATGCATAAGAACACCCACACTTGCAGATAATACCCACTTGACCTGGCTTCAATGGATGGATGATCAGAGCTCAACTAGAAGAAGGTAAAAAAGAGAGTAATCTGATACAATTTGATGAACTTGATCTACACACCTATGGAAGCAGTAGCTCAAAAGAGGGAACACATCTTTACAGCGAGGATCATTCCCACCACCTCAATACACAGGGTAGAGAGGGATGGGCAACTTGGACATTAATTAGTTACCCAAAATGGGGGGCTATAAAGGCAAGAAGTGACTGGCTTACAAGCTTTCAAGAGGGAGCCTAGATCCATAGGACACGGAGAAAGGTAGAATCTCCACTGAGTAGTATCCAGTCTGTCTGGGCGAGGCTAATGAAAGGAGATGAGGATAGCACTCATGTGGCACAATACTGAATAACTGCTATCAGGACTGACTATGAGGGTTTGAAATGTAAAGGTAGACATTCTGTAGCAAAAGGAGGAGAGTGGTTGACTTTGCAGTCCAGGAGCAGAGGTCCCTGGGACGATCAAGGGAGAAGAGCGGAGTGCGGGACCCAAGCCTGAGAAACAGTGATACCAGAGATAGAGGCAGAGATAATGACGTGAAGAGATGGAGCGGTTGGGGACTCTAGACCCAGAGAGGGAGAGGTGCTGTGTGCTGATGACCAAGGGGCAGGCTTGCAGGGTATACCCTTTGATTGTTTGATGATACATGGAGGCGATTGTAACCATGGCAATGAAATGATACACGATAGATGAATGTAAAGCTAATGTTCTCCCATGTAAACTATCACATAATTCATAATTAAACATTAAAAAAAAAAAAAAGGCAGTTGTTGAGACAAAACAAGGAGATACTGTGTGGTTTAAAATCACAACAGGTGTGTCAGGGTTGTACTCTTTCACCATACTTATTCAATCTGCATACTAAACAAATCATCTGAGAGGTGGAACTATCTGAAGACAAACACAGCATCAGGATTGAAGGATATCTCCATATAACAACATGTGATATGCAAAATACACAACCTTGTTGGCTAAAAGTGAAGAGGACTTGAAACATCTGTTGATGAAAATCCAAGATTTCAGTATGAATTACACTTCAGCAATGAAGAACACAAAAATCCTCATAACTGTACCAGTAGCAATGTCAGGATAAACAGAAAAGACTGAAGTTGTTGAGGATTTCATTTTATTTGTATCTACAATCGGGGTCCATGGAAGCCAAACCAAAAATCTCAAACTGTCTGCCATCGAGTTGATTCCTACTCATAGCAATCCTTTAGGACACAGTAGAATGGTTCCTTTGGGTTTCTGAGACTGTAAATCTTTACAGGAGCAGACAACTTCGTTTCTCTCCTGAAGAGTGGCTGCTGGGTTTTAATCTCCAACCTTTTGGTTAGGTGTTTGGTGTCACCAGGATTCCTCCAATGGAAGCAGCAGTCAAAAAATTAAACAACACGTTACATTGGGAAAATCTTTTCCAATAAACGTCTCTAAAGTCTTAAAAAGCAAAGAAATGTAAACCTTTACTCGATTCACACACACAAAAAGTAAAGATGTCACTTTGAGGACTAAGCCAAGGCCTGATCCATGCCATGGTATTTTCAATTACTTTATATGCATGCAAAAGCTAGGTAATGAATGATGAAGACCGAAGAAGAATTGATGCCTTTGAATGATAAGTGTTGGGGAAAATTTTTGAATATACTATGGAATTCCAGAAGAAGAAACCAATCTGTCTTGGAAGAAGTACAGTTAGAATGCTTCTTAGAAATGAGGATGGCGAGACTTCGTCTCCTGTTGCAGACCGTGCAGAGGTTCGAGGCCCTATAGACCCGAGTGTACTAGATCTAGCCACTTGGCAGTTAATAGCAAATTGTTTTTCATTTTAGTGTTCAGTTATATTTATTTAATTCCAAACATGAGCCCTGGATGTCCACAGAGAAATGCAATATTCCCCTAAATTTCTAAGGTCAAGATTTTCCCCTTAGAACCAAGACAGTAAAACTTCCTCAGAGGACGAACAAAGACAGGTTTACTGGGATTAAGCAGGGAGGCTCTAGAGAGGAACTGCCCGGGGTATATTCACTTCGGGTGGAGTGGTAAATTCTGGGAATACGGGATTAAGGACAATGGGGGCAACTCCCTCGGACCACCCTGGGTTCAATCAGTTTGATCCAAGTGAAGGTTAAACTGGCTTAATTTATTTTAAAGATTGTCTTGTCTGAATAATACCATTCTTCTGTAAAGATCCCTCCCTGAAAGAGAGGAAATAAAAGACGGACGCAGACTTAAGTCTGCGAGGCATTATTGCTTGCAGGGTATGAAGAGGCTGTCTGCCGGTTTTGCATCTACTCTGGTCTCCGAGTGTTTCTTTTCTCTCTCGCCTCTCCAGACATCCCACCTAGAGTTAGTCCGAGAAGGGAAAATGTCAGCCACTGAGAAGTCTGTCTGGCAGCTTGCATCAAGCCCGGGTGTGTGTGTGTGTGTGTCTCTCTCTCTCTCTCTCTGTATCTCTCCGTCTGTCTGTCTGTCTGTCTCTCTCTCTCTCTCCACAGTGAGTGTAAAAATAGGCTCAAACGTGGCAATGATTGTGAAGATGGTGGCGGACAGGGCAGTTTCGCTGGATTGTAGGTGGAGTTGATAGAGTAGGAATTGACTTGACGGCACCTAACAGCCACGACAACTACTATCAATTTGAACCCAAATACTTTTTGTTTTGGGAACATGCTAGCTCCATAGGATAACCACTGGATTGCAAACCACAAGGTCCACAGTTCAAGCTCACCAGCTTCTCCATGGGAGAAAGATGAGACTTTCTGCTTGGACAAAGATTTAAAGCCTCGGAAACCCTATACAGGGTCGCTGAGTCAGAACCGACTCAATGCACTTAACAACTTTTAGTTTAAGAAAATGCTGGCTCTCACCTCCCCATGCTCCCTCCACCCTAAAACACCTTTTCACACCAGAACATCCCAGACACCACCTCCTCCAGGACGTTCTTAAGGCTCATGATCCCCAAGATAGATGTCCCTATGCTATGCTCCCATTAATGCAAATAACAAAAGCAAATCCGCTGTTGTTGAATCAGTTTGGACTCATAGAGACGCGGTAAAACAGAGTACAACAGCATCAAAGGATTTCCAAAGCTACCAACCTTTATGGTAGCTCACAGCCACATCTTTCTCTCCCAAAGTGGCTGGTGGGTTCCAACCGCCCACCTTTCGGTTAGCACCTAAGCGCTTTTACCACTGTGCACTAGGAGCTGTCTTGTGCTTACCGTGCAATACTATAATGATTGGTCTACGCGTCTAGCTCTTACGTTGTTAAGTGCAGTGGAGTCGTTTCCAACTTATAATGATTCTGTATAGGGTTTCCAAAGCTGTAAAGCTTTGCAGGAACAAAAGGCCTCACCACTTGCGCTCTTATAGACAATGAACTTCTAGTGGGCAGTTTTCACGTCTAATGGTCCACTTTTCCCCAGCACGTGGTCCTGCACCTGGCACAGAGTAATTCAGAAAACAATAAACTATTGCACAAACGAAGGGTTATTGCTATTGTAGTTTTGAGAGAAGATTTGGGCACAGCCAGGTCAGGTTCTGACCCTCGTTTCTCCCTCCGGCCTCTGGGGGCGCTGTGCGACTGTCGCCCTCTCTCAGCCGCCGGAGTTCTCTTGACGGACGGAAGCTAGAGGGGGCGGGCGCGCGACGGGGGCGGGGCCAGCCTGAGCCTGCACAGATCCGGGAGGAAGAGGGGGAGTCTGAGTGGCGGTGGTGTCAGCTCTTGCCTGGTCCCGGCGCGCTTCGAGGGACCCGGTTGGGGTGCTGCAAGGGCCCGGGGAGGTACGGAGCTGGAGGCCAGGCTCATTCAGTCCCAGGGACGGTCACCGTCTCCAGATAGCTTTTGAATCCCTCTGGGGCTTCCCTAGTCGGGGAATCTGGCGGAGACTCCTTTGACAGTCTATCTTGGGTCTCTGTGTTGGGGGAGACCTTTGTCAGCATCTTTTCTCGAGAGAAGTTTCTGTCTGTGGGGTCCCTTTAATATTGATCTCAATTTCTGCTCTCTGCGGAAGTCTTTGGGGTGCCTTCTGGTGGTCTTAGAGGCCTCCTCTGAGAAGGGATTTCCGGAGACCCTATCAGTACAGGGTCTTTTATGTGATCCCATTGCTATGGGTCGGAACCGACTCAATGGCACTTAACAACAACAACAATTGCAACAAAAATTCACTCCTTTCTGAAGGCTTTTTTCCCCTTAGATTCCTTCACTCGTCTTCATTTGTTCATCATAGCACTTGCCTGGGCTTTGGAGGAAATTAATTGCTGTCCAAATTAATGATGCAAGAAAGCTAATGATCTTCATTGATTTACTCAATCTCCCCAGGGAACAGGTGGATTAAGACAGATCCACAAAAATGGAATTCCTGCTATTTCCCCACAGGCTTGTGGTTAAAAGGAGGGAGGAGGGCCTTAATTAACTGAATAGTGGCTAAACCAATGGATCTCCTCCCCTTTACGCCACATTTACTGAGCACTTGCGCTAAATAGATTTGCTGGGCCCTATACTGAGACTAACTAAGACTGAGAAACACTCTGGAGTAGAGGATTGAAGTAGAAAATAATGCTGAATCCCTGAGGCTGTGCATTTGGCTCCGAATTTGGGCTCTCAGTTGTGGAAAGTCTGACCTCTGCCTTGATCCTTCTCTCTTTCCTCACCTTACCCCAGGTGCTTCTGTTTCTCAAGGTCAGAGGCTAACAATGGGGAAGAGCTGCAAGGTGGTTGTCTGTGGCCAGGCATCTGTGGGCAAGACTTCAATCCTGGAGCAGCTTCTGTATGGAAACCATGTAGTTGGTGAGTGTTGGTGGGGGTAGAAGACGTTGAAGAAAAAGCAGTATTTGATTCAAACATGTAAAGGTTGAATGCTACTCGTGATGGGGTTTTACAACCTGAAAAGGAAAACCTACATTGCAACCCCCAATCCTACCACAGTAAAAATGAGAACATCGTCACCTCAAATCCAAAGTGTGGAAACCCAGTATCCAAGATGAGAAGGAAATGCCCCTAAGGCACACTTTTGCTTAGTGAGGTATTGGCCTGAGGTTAGCCTTCTTTGTCCAAAGCTCTTCCAGTCCCGCCACCCTCTGCCTCTGGTCACCTCTCTTCAGCCCCCACATGCCTTCCTCTTCCTATCTGGTCAGCTTGTAAAGATGTACTGAAGTCACTCACGTTTTCCATCCCATCCCCATCCGCCTCATTTTGCCCTAGGTTCTGAGATGATTGAGACACAGGAGGACATTTACGTGGGCTCCATTGAGACAGACCGGGGTGTGCGGGAGCAAGTGCGTTTCTATGACACCCGGGGACTCCGAGATGGGGCTGAGCTTCCCCGCCACTGCTTCTCCTGCACTGATGGCTACGTCCTGGTCTACAGCACAGACAGCCGGGAGTCCTTCCAGCGTGTAGAGCTGCTTAAGAAGGAGATTGATAAATCCAAGGACAAGAAGGAGGTTTGTGGCTTAGGCTCTTGGTGGGAGCCCAAGTGGGGGCAATGGGCTCTGGACTGATGTGGGCTTTGGGAGGCCTGATGTGACTGCACTTTACACTCATTTGTTGGGAGGTGGGTTAAGAGATGGGGCAAAGGTGGAGGTCACCGGGGACTGTCTTCACCTATAGAGGTGGCCACATGGAGAGTCAGCTTAACCCAAGAGGCTTTGCTTCAGTTAGGGGGGGAGGTCCCTGACTTAACCCATGGAGCCCCAATAGTCTTTGCTCATGATGGTTTCAGGTTTCCATTTATTTATGAAGGCCCTTCTCTGTTCTACAGAATCCTCATTAAAGGTGCAGGCATTCTGAGAATGCTTCCAAAGGTTTAACTAGAAAGTAACCAACTGCAAGTAGTGAACAGGCATGGGCTTCGGAATGGGGTTTGAAGTGGAATTCCTGGAGGGTGGGTCGAAGGAGCCTAGAATTTGAACAGGGTAGAAAAATCATCATCTCCCTCCTGCCTGTCCATGTTCTAGTCCCAGTAGAATTGAGACATCCGCCTTTGAGACTTTCCTCTCCTAGAAGTCCTAGGTGATAACCTGTCCACGCCCTTATTCTTGAGATCTTTGGTGTGTGTGCAGGCCTGACTGTCCCTTCTTTCCCAGGTCACCATTGTGGTCCTTGGCAACAAGTGTGATCTGCAAGAGCAGCGGCGTGTCGACCCTGACGTGGCTCAGCATTGGGCCAAGTCAGAGAAGGTGAAACTGTGGGAGGTATCAGTGGCCGACCGCCGTTCCCTCCTGGAGCCCTTTGTCTACCTGGCCAGCAAGATGACCCAGCCCCAGAGCAAGTCTGCCTTCCCCCTCAGCCGCAAGAACAAGGGCAGTGGCTCCTTGGATGGCTGAAGAGCTGCTGTCCCTTCATCACCTTCCCAACCCTATTCCAGAGTCTGGGGCTCTGGAATATGAGTTGCGGGAGAAAGGGCAAGTTCTCTTTCCCAAAGTCTGCTGGGCAGCTCCGCACTGGGCCAGGCAGTTGAGCTGCCAGAGCTGCTCAAGCCACCTTTGCTCCCTACTAACTCTGGGAAGCACAAATAACCTAATTTAGTCCTCCTCTGTGACCTGGGGCAGCTCTATGGCAGTGCCCGTCCTCCTACCCCAGACAGAAGCATAGCAACCATTCAGAAGTGCCCAGTCTAGGGCCTGGTCCCTATCACAGGAGCCCCAGCCTCTGGACTTCCTGCCAACAACACACACAGTCAAGGCACCAGCCTGGACTCTGGGAAGTGCCCAGGTGTTGTATATGTATGTGTCGATGTGCTCATACTGGCATTAGGGAGCGTCTCTTCATCAGTTACCTTGACTTTTCTGCTGCCTTTTCCTTAAATGGAAGAAGCTGACCTCCTGGAAGTTTCTCTTCTTCCTGCTCTGGAAGCACATGGGCCTCATTGGTTGAGGTGGAGTGGAATGATGACTTGTTGGAGTCACCAACTGGCTTGGTGACCTAGCAAGGCTTTCCCCTTTCCAGGCTTCCCTTTTTCATCTTTAAGGTGATGGGAGTGGACTAGATGACCTCTTAGATCCTTTCCAGCTCTGTGATTTTAGAATGCCCTGGGCTTTGGGCCATCTGTGACTGTACTTGCTTATCCCTCTCTAGGTGCTATGCCTACCAGCCAAGGACGCTGGGACACTACTCTCCCTCCAGCCACCAGGGGGCAGGAGTGCACTAGTCACTCTTCATTGCCACTGTGGCCACTCAGTGCTCAATCAGCCGGTCTTCACACCTACCCCACTCCCCTCTAGGCTGGCCTTTACCTCTTCTGGTTGTTGTCTGGACTTGTATTTATAAATTTCTGGTATTTATATGCCTGCTGCCATGGTGAAGGCTGGACAAGGTGCTTCTCTAGCCCTTCCTTCTTACCTCAGATGCCTGAACAGAACAAGGCAAACCATTAGCAGTTCCTGGGAAGCTGACTGGACTCCTGCCAGGCTTGTGAGGGTTGTGAGTTTATAATCCACAGCTTCCTGTGCCTACGTCATACTGCTAATGTGAGACACTACAATAAGCAACCTCCTAACAGGATTGGTGAGCAGGGGCAGGTGGCCTTGGGTTGGTTCAGGTAGAATCAGGGCACATACAGGTTTGGGCTTAAAGTTCATTTATTGATGCATTGGACACAATAAAACCACAACTGCTTGTTATCAAAAGGTTCCCCTTCCCTCCCGCTTTGTTCTCCCACTGGAAGTGTCTTAAAAAAAGGGTAAGATGCAGGTGGGTGCGGACAAAGTCCCGTATTGTACTGGGATGGGGTGTGTGACACAGGCTTGCAAATGGGTCTCGAGAGTGTATCAGACTGGGTGCCAACACTCAGCTTCACCGGGAGGGACTGGGGCTCGCTGGTTGGGAGAAGGAGGGAAAGCTGAATTGAGTGCTAGGATCAGCTTGGGGTAGGAAGCTGTGGAGGTTAGCTCTTCATTAGGGACCCCTGGGGGGATTTGGTACTGGCTGGGTTCATAGTCCATAAGAGACCTAAGCACCCACACCCTTAAAAGCTGGGAATCAGAGGGAATCAATGAAAAGTTGGGAGGGGGGAGCTTTTGTAGGATTGATCACTTCCTCTATTAAAACTGGGTCCAGCCAGAACATCCACCTCACCTATCCCTATCCTAAGCCCGTTCAGTGAAACCTGATGAGGCCCCTAAAAGCTTTCAGCCGTAGCCTCTCTTGGCTCTCCCACCTTAGCTCCCAAATCTCCCTTTCTCTTCCACAGCTCTCCTGCCACCACCCCAGGTTCCCATGATCACCTTGTTCAGGTAGCCTTTAACTCACTCCAGACTGAGACCCCAACCACATCTCCAGTGATTCTCCGAGAATCGGGCCAGTAGGGAGTGGAGGTCAGAAACTGTCCTGGGGCTAGGAGAGGCACGTGGGTTTAGGACTTGGATGAGCACCACAGGGCTGGGATTTTGCATAGAGTTGTGTGATTTCTCCCTGGTCATTGGGTTGGGAAATGCAGGGACCTCAGGACTAGCTAGCCCTGGGAGGGTGGGGGTGGTCTTTGGACTAGGGGAGTACTGGTTTAATCCCTAGCCCAGACTGGAAGTGAGGGGCTGCTGTCCTTCAAACTAGCCCAGTTCTTCCTGGTTCAGCAGAAACTGCTAGGCTGTGAATGTAGAAAACCAAGGATGAAGAGGAGACTGGGCAAGCAGCCACTGGGAAGTCAGCCCTGACCTCCCCAGGAGGGCTAATAGGGGGCAAAGACAATGGGTCCTGTGGCAGGGCGGATGGTTCCGGCAGGGGTGCGAAATAGAGCCGGGCCCAGGATCGGAGCTGGGAAGAGGGTAGTGGCCGCTGTTGGGGTAGGCCGTAGAGCCAGGGGCCCTGGCAGGGCACAGATGGCAGCCGTGGTGGGGAGCGGGCTGGGCAGGAAGCGGGCTGCCAGAGTCTTGGTGAGTTGCTTCTGCAAGGCCAGTTTTGACTAAGAGGGAGGGAGAGAATTAGACACAGTCCCTGACTCCAGAAATCCCATCCTCTCTGGGCATGATCATTGGATTTTTGCCACAGGAAAAACTTGTCCTTTAGGGTTCCAAACCTAAATCCTCCTTCCCACCCCAAACATCCATTCCAAAAGGCTTTCTCCACCAGCTGTCTCCCTGCCCAGAGGGAAGAGGGCCTCCAGGAGATGCCTGCCCACCCCTTGCTGCCCCTGTGTTTGATATCCCAGTCCACCTCCCCGGAAATACCTCAGGGCAGATAACAAGACAGCCAGAAACTCAGTCCCAGCTCTTTCCTGCCCAAGCAGCGGAAGAAGAGAGGTAGCTTCCTTTCCCACCCCCAGGTTCCACCCACCCTCTCCCTTTGAACCTGGCTCCCAGCTGTGTTGCCTGGGGACAGATACCTTGAGGACACTCACAGCCAGCGCTGCTTGCTTCTGCAGCTTGCTGTGCTGGCTAGAGGGTTTGAGGGGCTTCCCAGCCAGGCGGTCTTTGTGCCTCCTGCTGCTCATGTGCTGATGGACAGACAGATGACATAGACAGATTAGGAACAAGACAAGGAAATCCAGGGACTCCAAGACTACCCTGTCACTCATGATTCATTCACCCTTCCTCTGCTGGTGCAGTGGATTAGGTACTGGGCTTGCTAACAGCAAGGCCAGCAGTTCTAACCCAGGAGCCTTTCTGAAGGAGAAAGGTGAGGCTGCGTATTCCCACAGATTGACAGACTCCAAAACCCTACATAAAGGGCTGCTATGAATCACAGCTGACCACATGACAATGGGTACTGCCCTGGGGTGGTGGTAGTTATGTGCCATCGAGTCAGTTCCGACTCATAGCGACCCTGTATAGGGTTTCCATGGAGCGGCTAGTGAGTTTGACCCCCCTAACTTGTGATTCAAGCCTGGAAAGAAGGGGTGACATTTGCCCTCGAGGAGCCCTCACCCAACTAGCCTCAGGCCTTGTTCTTCAGTGTCTCTGCCCACCCCATCTTCTCAGGCTCCGCCTCCTGCCTTGTTCTGGTCATACCCCCCTCAGCCTCTTTCCAATCACTCATCACTGCCTCTCCCACCTGCTTGAGCTGAGTTTCTGAGTTGACCTGGAGCTGGCAGAGAGCACAGTGGAAATGGGGGCTGGAGCCCTGTCGACCCCCCTGGCTCCCAGTCACACGTTTGGCCTTATGTCCAGCCCCTCCTCGGGGCACCGGGCGGCCTCTGCCCCTGCGGGGAGCCCCTCGCTGGCCTTCCAACATCCACCGATGTTTAGCTCCTGGGGGCAGGGAAGAAGACAGTTTGTCAGAACCTAAAAGGGGGAGCAAGGGCCACAGAGACCCCTCCAAGCCTGCTCCATTTGACTTTCCTTTTATGCCTGGCTCCCTGAGGTCCAGTCAAATTTCTCTCCATCTCTGTGAGTGTCTCCCAGCTTCTCCCGTTTCACGTCCACCTCCCTCCCCTAGGACTTCCAGTGTAACTGGTCAGCTTCCCTGATGCTCTAGTCTCCCTCCCTCCCCCCTGGTTCCCGCCAAAGGGGAGATGGAGCAGTGGCCTCCCACCCTCTCTCAAGTACCCTTCAGAACCCCAGGCTTTGTTCCAAATTCCCCTGGGAAGATCTAGGAATACTCACCCAAGAACTGCTGAGCACAACAAAGTGCCCAGGAACTCAAGCCTGCCCACCCTTGGTGAGGGTGAACCTCCGTGCCCCTCAGTTCCCCCAGGTTCCTGCTTCTGGGGGCACACCTGTATTGTGAGCCTGAAGCTGAGAGGCAGAGTTCACCGTCACCTTACACGTGGAGCAGTAAAGGCGCCCTGTCTGGGTCCTGCCCTCCCCGTTCACTTTGCTTCCTGCTGCAACAGCTGCTGACTCAGGTCCTGGTGCCTCTCGCCCAGGCTCTGGGGACGAAGGCGGGCAGGAGGCAGGAGAGGGAGAGGAGGCAGAATCCAGGAGGTCTGCGTGGGCCTGTTCCTTGGGCGTGGAGTCTTGAATCAGTGGTGGCTGGTGTGGGAGACCAGATGGCAGGGCTGCAGAAGCTGCTGGGGAGATGGGAGCATGGGGTGAGGGTGCCAGGCCCCAAGTGGGTGGCTGATGCCATAGTTTGTACACAGACATGGGGGTGGCAGGCAGAGCAGAGTGCAGGTGAGGAAATCCACACCCAACCTCCTACCAATGTGCTGGGCAGGCTTGGACCTCAGTTTTCACATCAGAAATCATAAAGTTGAACTGGTGGTTTGCTGCAGTAATTTACTCATTTGTTATTTAAGCAGAAATTACCCAAAAGACATACTAGAATGTTCTGAGCAGCCCTATTCTTAACCACATCAAACTGGAAACTATCCAAATGTCCATGGACAGGGCAACAGATAAAAGCAGTGTCATGTTCAGGTGATGGGATGTTACATGGCAATGAGAAAGGATGCAGCGGTGTGGAGGAATCTTTACATAATGATGGACAATAGCCGCCATTCCCAAGGATTCCCCCAGACCAGATGAAGTGAATCTTTGCTGAGAAAAGTCAGGATTGTGGTTACCCTAGGGGAGGGGGTGGTGTCCGGAAGGGAGCCCAAGGAGGGCCAGGTCCGGGAGTTAGTGTCAGGCTGTTCCTTAATCTGGGTGTGTTCTGATTGGGAAAGCCCATTCACCTGTGCACCTGTGCTGTGTGACGTCACCCTTTCCTCTGTATGTGAAATACTTCAACCCAAGCAAAAGTAGTAAGCAAACATCTCAATCCCTGCTCAGAAAGCAGAGTTGGCGGGGAAGGGGCTTGGGGAGACAAGTCCAGAACTGACCTGTGCTCTGCTGCTCTCCGGGGGCTCCACTGGCTGGAGACAGAGTTGGGGACACCACTGCCTCATCCCGGGCCAGCGTTTGTGGTTTCTGCTTGTTCTTGGTGGCCTCGACAGCCTTGACTTTTCTGGCGTGTTTGTGGCCTTTATAATGTGCTTCAGCCTGGTTCTGGGGAGAGGAGGGCACAGTGTCACCCGTCAGTCACGGAGCCCACATGCCTCATCCATGTGCTGGCTCTGACCCAGGGCCACGTCAGAGGGAGGCGGGGCTCAGATCACACAGGGGGAGTTCCTGTCATTGCCATTGTTGTCACATGCTGTGTGGCTCTGAGGCTGACACAACACAACGCTCGCTTTCTCTTATGAGTTCCAAGGCAAGCGGCCTCTGGCTTCACGTTCTCCTCACTCTCCACTTCGTAGCTGTGCATCTTTGGGCAAGTCAGTTCACCTCTCTGAGCCTGTTTCCCTACCCATAAACTTTGTGAAGACACGACTTACCATACAGACCTGGGGGAATTAAGTAGGAACATGAGTGACAAGTGCCTAGTACATTCAGTAAGTGCTCAGTCAGTGTAAGTTCCACAAATGGAGGAAAGAAAACAGTCCTCATACTCTGGGGTGCATGCCACACAAAACATTCAGCCCTCTGTCTGCTTTTTCAACAAATAGTGATTGAGCCTTTGCTGTTTGTCAGGCATCGTGCCAGGGCCCAGTCATGAAGAACAGTACCTCCCCAGGGCACTCTTTCTCTACCCATCTTTCTCATACTGCCTGTAACCCGACAGCCTGGAGGGAACCCCAAACTCTGGCCTGTTATGGCCTACCTTCTTCAATGCTATTGCTGCTTCCCAGCTCACCTGCCTCTAATGTAGAACAGGCCCTTGCAGTCCCTTCCTGCGTGCGTTGATACAGCAGATCAGCTGAGAGCATCTTCCCCAAACCCCAGAGTTGCTTGGACAAAAGGTAGCCTTCCCTGAGAGGCCAGAATGAGGTCCTCTACTACCCAGGCAGGCTATGGTAGAAAGTACCCAAGTCTTGGGGATAGTCAGGCCTGGGCTCAGATCCCAGCTCTGATGCTAATCTGCTGTGTGGTCTTAAGCAAGTCACTAAACTTTGCTGAGGCTCAGTTTGCCTTATCTGAAATATGGGCACGATAATACTTCCTCATCCACCTCACAGTTGTGTCCTGAGAACTAATTAAGATGATGGGACAAATACATTCTGAAATTTGCAGGTGCTCTGCGGACTCTTTGGAATGACAGATGATCTCAGATCAGGAGCCAGAGTCTCCTCTTCTGCAGGATCCAAAAGGACCCAGAACACAGAGAAAGGCATAGAGAAGGAAACAGAAGCCCAGCTAGACCTGGGCAGCAGGGGGCTGAGGAATGGGATAGAGGAATCCTGAGAAGAGAGAGGAATGGAATGGTTAAAGGACCAGGAGTGCCTCTTGAGCAGCCAGGGTAGAAGATACAGACCACCCTCTGTCACCGCCATTCCTCCCCGAAAGCCCCTGCAAGCCCAGTCTCCAGTACTTTTCCTGCCCGACCACCTCCCCAAACCTGCTGCCACCTTCCCACCACCTCTCACCGCTGAGTTGAACCTCAGGTGACAGATGTTACAGGAAATGAAGAGCTTCTTCTTCAGAGGGGAGGGGACCCCAAACGTATGGCTGATGACAGCTTTCTGGACTGGGTCCATCTGTGAAAGGGGTGGGAGGCCAAAATAAGTCGAGTCTGCTCTGGGAAATTAGGGGCAGTACAAAATGCCTCAAACTAAAGACTACTGAGGAGGGACTGTGGTCAGACTCTAGGAAGAACTTTCCTCTCCTGTGTTCAGACACAGAAAAAGACACAGTCTCTTCTTTGGCTGTCTGAATTCTATTATCTGTCAGACTGGGCTCTGCATGGAGGCAAGTGGATGGCCAGGGTGACCTCCATGATCTAGCATGCTGGTGGTCACCTGAATGTCTCTTGCTGCCCATCTAGTTTCTCTTTTTTTCTCTCTCATTCATAAGAATAACATTGGGGGAAAGACAAAGAATCCCTTTTTTGTTGAGCCCCCTTTCCCATACTGCATCCTTTGTGCTGGAACCTGTGGACCCAGAGAAGGTAAGTCCTAGCTTACCAACTCTGCCATGGTCAGGGAAACCAAGCGGCCAGAGTGAGAGCTGTGGCCAGAGGAGGGATGGAAGGGGTAGGCAGCAACAAGTGGAGACCAAGGGTTCCCTGAGTAGCAGGATCATTCCTTTGGAACATTCTGTAGGGCTTTTTTTGGTTTTCTTACTGTAATTTCAAAAACAATTCTATCAAACCAAGCCTCCCTTTCTCAGGAGCCTTGGTTGTTAGGTCAAAAGCAGAAGCTGTCTAGGCTTATCAACTTGCCAAACCTTCCCAAGGGAAGAGATTAGAGGCTTTGAGAAGAGCTTGGTTTTGGAAACAGCCCTGGACACAGGAAGAGGTGTCAATCCTCATCGCCCCAGGGGATAGGGCAGGGGCAGAATCACAGAGGCAATGGCCTGCCTGCAGGGCATCCAGCATGTTAGGACAACAGGTGTCTCCTGAGGGACCATCTCCTGGAACAGTAGGTGTCAGCAGGTGACAGTGGGGACAAAGATCAGATATCCCTTCCCAAATATCCTGATCCTGGGCCAGGTGAGACTCCTCAGGACTTAATCGGGTGAAGGATAAGGAGGGAGGGACTCCTAAGGGTGACTGAGGCAGAATTTATGGACAGTGTCAGAATATTATAAGGCTCATTAATGATTAAATTCAATTTTTTGAGATTTAAAGAGGGGGTAGGCTGGGAGGATATTCCTCACACCTTTTGTTACGTGCTGTCAAATTGGTTGCAACTCATAGTGACCCTTTGTAGGGGTTCCAGGGAGCAGCTGGTGGGTTTGAACCGCAGACCTTTAGGTTAGTAGTCCAGTGCTTATCCTACAGTTCTGCACCAGGACTCCTGACCTCGCTTGTAGTGGAGTAAAATTTGTATTTACTACATTTGTCATCTACACACACACCCACATGGAAATGCATAGACTGGTATCCAGACACACAGCACAGTTACAAGTCAGATACACATAAAGACACAAACTCCTGCCATACAACTGGTGGTACAGCACCACAGAAAAGCCCAGTCCTCCCAAACTACGCAAAACACACTCAGAGGTCAGAGAGATACCAAACACAGACACCACACACAGACAGGAAACTCACAAGGACCCTTTACAAACACACAGCACCATCACATAAATGATGCACACCACAAGTAACAAAGACCTATTCAGACACAAATAACAACTAGAAGGCACACCGGACTTGCACGCATGTACGCACGCACGCATACAGATGTTGTGGTTGTCCCAACACAAAAACTCAGTTGAAACTAAGAGTCTACAGGTCCCACAGGGCCCGCAGTTGTGGTGGTAGGGGAGGTGACACCATGTTTATTCTCTAGCCTAGGGAAGAGTTGGCTGGTCCAGGGGTCCCTGTTTGGGGCACACCTAGTCACTTGCTGAAGAATGAGCTCCTGGAGAGACCCAGCTGCTGAGACCCCTCTGAGCCCACTTGTCCTGCCCACCCCTTGATTTGTTTGGGTGTCCCCACACCCACCAGCTGAGCCCGTACCGTACTGAAGTTGGGGAAGAGACTGAGCGGGGTGGTGCCATTGAAGTGGAAGGCGAGCAAGTGCTTGAAGTCCAGCGGGGGTTGCAGAGACCGGGCGGGCAGGGGCAGGGAGGCCAGCAGGGGGCTGGGGGCACTGGAAGCCGAGCCTGCTGCAGGAGGAAGAAGGGCAAGGTCTGAAGTGGGGAACAACGGGACTCCCTTCTACCTCCGCGCATCCAGAACCAGAGGCTGGTGAGCTTTGTGGGTGTGAATCCAGGGCAGAAACTTCTGTATCCCTCTTCACAAAGTAGCCCAGCCAAGTCAGGGGCCCCTTCTCCCCATAGCTGGGGAAGCAGGGAGAGTCCACAGGACGAGGCTCTCAGTCCAAGAGAAAGACCCTTCCGTACCTATAGAGGCAGCAGAATGGCTAAAATGGACCCCCAAGGGGAGTCTGCCACAGGAAAGGACAGGAGCCAGAGCAGGGCTCCGACAAACACACACCACTATGAAGACTGCAAGATGCACTGGGTTTCCACTTTATTGTAAATTAAAACCAAACCCAGGATGCTTGGGGACAGGCTAGTACCCTCCTCTCTCACTCTGTATCCCGTCTCCTGATCCCCATACCATTCACAGCCAGGGCTGACAGGAGTGAGCAGGAAGATTGTGGGAGTCTGAAAAGGTGTGTCCCCAGCTCTGGGGAGGCCCCAACTGCTTCCCCCAGGAGGCCAAACCCCTTCAAAGGTCCTAGGTGAGACCCTGAGACCAGTCCTCAGGGACAGCAGGTAGAGTTCTGTAGTTTTGGAGTCTTTGGTCTTAAAGGCAAGGGCAGGGGAACGCTAGGAACTTGGAGAGCAACTAGACTTTGAGGGGAAAAAAATATTAGAAATAAATTCAGGTAATTCGGGACTTTCTTAAACCCTGTGGTTTCAAAACCAAGAGCAGTCCTTTTAGATTTTGGGGTGTTAACACTATGAAAGATAAGCTAGATTTATTTCACATTTATATATTTATGTCTCTACATGGCCATGTACAGAAAAGGCCTCAGGTAGCCTACTGAGGTGGAAGGAGGGAGGGCACCACTCCACAGGTGTGCCCTTGAGCCATTAGATTCTGTGTGTATGTCAAGAATGGCAAAGATCCCAGTTCTCCTCTGGAGAGGAGAGATACTGCCAACAGTGGGGCTAAATAACAGCCAAAGAGCCGCTCGCTCATTCTCTTCTCCCCTCTCACTTCCCAAGACCCAGTCTTGCTCCTTCCAGCTAAGCCCAAACTCTTAGAACCAAAATTTGGACCTAGCCCAGAAGGGGAAACTTTGGAAAAGAACAGGAGCCATTTAGGGGGCCCCAGACCCCAGCATCTCTGCCCACTTGCCAGGTTCCTCCTCAGTCCACGAGACGGGGTGAGAAATCAGCATGGAGCAGAGGAAGTCCGTGGAAGAGAGATGGGAAACCTCAAATATCGGGAAGGCCACAGTTCGTAGGTCAGCTTTGGGGCAGCACCATGGTCAGGCCTCAGATGAAAGGCCAGGGCCCCAGACTGGCTGGGTTGAGAAAAGGGGACCCCCTCACGTGAGCTGCGTGAGTCCCTCCCCCCACCCACTCTCTAGGAACTCCACCGCCAGCGCAAAGTCAAACTCGTGCAGTGGGGGCCCGTCCACGGCGATCTTCACCACATGGCCACTGCGGCCTTCCCCGCCCCCGGCTGGCCCCCACCACCGGAGCTCCCGACTGCGGGTAATCTTGTCCAGGAGACCGGCACCCACGGGCAATGCCAAGGCTAGGGCGGCAAGGGCGGCGAAGTCAGGGAAGAGCTCGTGTAGCTCGGAGTGCGCGCATGCCAACTTAGCGCACAGCGCACGCGGCCCTAGCAGGCCCAGACTGCACACTACGCGCTTGAAGAGCGCAAAGTCGCCCAGTGCGCGCTGCTGCACAACGGCTGGCGCAAAGGCACTCAGCAGCACGCGCAGCGCCCCCTCGCCATGCGTTCTCAGCTCTTCCTGCGTCTCAGGGTAGCGGCGAGGGTCAAAAATGGCAGCGAAGGCGGCCACAGCGTCCAGGGAGGGTCCGGGATAAGAGTCCCGCAGTCCTGTCCTCATGGAGTCGAGGAAAGCTCCCCGCAGCCGCTCGAAGCTCTGGACAGCGGTGTCGGAGTAGCCGACCAGCTCCACTCCACGGTAGATGCAGCGACTGTCGTCCCCGTGGAGGCCAGAGGCTACCAGTTCCTGAAGGAAGCCCTGGAGACGAGTCCCACCTGAGCTGCGCTGTGCTTGGAGGGAAGCCGTGGCTGCCATTACCAGGGGCTGCAGCAAAGCCAAATCCGGCTCCTCTGGCTGCAAGACAAGAGCAAGCTTCTGCACGGAAGGCAGAGTGTCCAGCAGCATGTGGGTGAAGGCCACGAAGGTGAACTGGCGCAAGGCAAGGGCCAATGCCCCAGCAGTGGGTGAGGATGAGGCTGCAGCCTCCAGTGTGGGTACCAGGCGAGGCCAGGCCTCAGCCACTGCATCCACGACAGGCAATACGGAGGCCCAGGACACTGGCCGCGGCCCTGCCAAGTCAATAGCTGCAAGGTCCAGTGCCGCCCGGAGCTCAGGGACCATGTGGGAACTAGGGCCACTGTACAGGCGGAATAGGGCATCTAGGACGCTTTCGTATTCACCCAGGTAGGCAGGGGGCTTGGGGTCTGTCCGCCCTGGTAGGCAGTGCAGCTCCGTGAGCAGCGGGCAGGCTGCCTGGAGCTGCAGGCCCACGCTCCCCAGGCGATCACTGGGGAGGCTAGAGCTCAGCCAGGCTAGGTTGGGTGTGGGCACACCAAAGGCTTGCAGGATGTCCAGAAGCTGGCCAGCAGTGGCCTCAGCCTCCTGCAGCTCCACACTGCCCAGAAAGGTGGTGGCAGGCTGGCCATCACAGGGGGACACAGAAGTAGCAAACAGGGCCAAACTCGGAGACTCAGGCCAGTCCCTGATTTCGTCCAGCACCAGCCCGACATATGGGGATGCCTTCAGGCGCTGACAGTCTTCAGTGTGAAGAACACTAGCAATGGCCACCTGGGACAGCCAGGGAGAAAAAAGGAAAGAGGACAGAGTTAGGTTTGTCCTGAGAGGAAGGCAGGCAATACAGTGAGGTGGAAAGAGCACAGGCAGACTTAGGGGACGATCCTGGCTTTGCTACTCACTGGCTTTGTGTCACATCATCACCTGAGTCTCAGCTTCCTGAACTCCAAAATCATGCTAATACCTGCCCCTGTCTCCTCACAGGCTTGTTGTGAGGTTCACCTGAGCTTAGAAATGTAAATGTACTTTGGGAACCATAAAGGGCTCCTGGAAGGCTGGTTTCTCATTGTGTTTTTCTAGAACATCCCCCCCAGAGTCTGCCTTAAGTCTTGGGATTCGTCCTCGATGATCCAGTTCTGTGTATCATACTCATTCCCAACTCTTGACTATGTGGGTCCCAGCTGTGTACTCTCCTTATCATCTCTCTGTAGGATGAGTTCCGGCCACCCCCCAGCCTCTAGGACTCACACAGCTGATAGCTAGCACAGAAGCTGCAACTTGCATGCGTCCAGGGGCCATGTGGATGCTGCTGAGCATGATGTGGGCCAGGGATAAAACACAGGGAATGCTGAAGGCCCTGGCAAACCCATGGCCTGTTTTCCAACGCCACCACTCCTGCCATGAGAGCATGGTGGTCTCTATTTTCAGTTGTTGCTGTTGGATACCATCGAGTTGAGTATCATCTTTACAGGAGCAAATCTCTGTGTCTTTCTCCCACAGAGCCCCTAGTGAGATCCAACTGTCAAAGTGAGTGCTTTACTGTTGTGCCACCAGGGCCCTTTATAGCTTTTCAGTAGAAGTCACTGAAAATCCAGATTTTTATACATAGCTCCTGATTTTTCAAGCTGGAAACTAATTAAAATTTTTTTTAAAAAAAACAAGAGAATCAATAGAACACATCTGTGAACCAGTAAAACACATTATGCCCCTGTGCCACCAGTTTGCAGCCTATGGCCTAGGCAGCGAGGGGTGTGCCCTGTGTCCCTCAGGATAGTGGCCCCATCACTGCTGTCTCCCCAGCTGCTGGCTTCCTAGTAGACCCTTGGAAGATCCTTGGTCTGTGGTGGGCAGCTGCAGGGCTGTGCCCTCCCCAAACCCTTCCCATGCCTCTGGTTGCCACCCACCTGCATATCCCTGACCCTCCTAGGGCTGTAGTAATCGCTGTGCTCGGTGCCCAGCAGTGCCTGGCACAGGTTGAACCTCTGTAGCTCGAGCAGGGCAGAGCAACGGTCATCAGGCACGTCCTCCTTGGCCATGCAGTACACGGTGGTCAAGACAGCCACTTTGGAGGGATCTGCCTCCACCTTGATGCCCCTAGAGGTGGGTGTGGGAGCCAGGCCTGGGTAGGCCCCTCCTCCCTCAGCCTGGCCCTCGAAAGCGGGCTGGCCCTGGTTAACAGCCAGAGCCTGTTGGTGGGCTCCTGAGGTCACGTGGCGCAGCAGGGCATGGCGCTGGAAGTTGTCGGTGCCCACAGTGAAGGCGTTCTCAGCTTTGCCATGCTTGTTCCGCACCAAGGCCTGACGACACTCGAGGCAAAACATCAGCTTCCGCTCATAGTCAAAGTCCAGCCAGGTAAACTCCTCTTTCCAGTGCTCATTGAAATAACGCTTGCACTTTTTGTTGGAGTTGGAGGCCTCTCCAGCTGGTTTCTTCCCAGGGGGCACCATTCCTGCTTGCTGTGCAGGGTACCTCCAACCCCCACCCCAATTCTCTTGCCCCCCAGCCTCCCACACACAGAGAAGCACCTTCTTTGGCAAAGGGAGTTGGTGGGGAGGCAGGAGGGGGCAGTCCACCAGGCTAGCAGGAACCATCCATCTAACTTATTCAGGAAAGCTTATTCCTGCTCCGCCGGTGGGGGACTAGAGATGAAAGAGACAAGGGAGAGGTGTTAGGGGTCCATCGTGGTGGGGCAGTTTAGGGTGGGGTGAAAGGGTTCACACTGCTTACAGAGCCCTCCCCAGCGGAAGGGTAAACTGGACCCAGTGAAGCAGGGATGATTGGCAGAGTCATGCAAATGGATTAGAAATCTAACTTTCTCTGGAGTATGGGGAGCCCAGTGCCTCCAAGGATCAGCTCCCCTTCAGGACATTGGTTTTGACCGCTAAATTTGGAAATGTCACAGCTGGAGAGGGACCGGGCACCATTCATGTAACCACACTGAGTCCTGGAAACAGATAGTGGATCTCAGGTCTTATCAATAATTAGTGCTAGAAGCAAGGCTAAAACTCAGACCTCCTGTCTGTTGCCTCAGGGAAGGCTGGTCCCTCTAGCTCGCCATGCATTCCATCAGAAGGAAGTTGTTAAAATGCTGAGCTGCTTACCCAGCCTCAGGACAGGAACGGGAATTTGTTTTACCTGGAGCATGAGTCCCTAAACACATACACCTGTAGTGTGGTTCTGGGAAGGTAACCTAGAAGAACTGAGGGCTGCTTGAGATGAAGGTAGCTGGCTGGTTACTCTTCACTTTCTACCCGCTATCTCCCACGCTGGGCTATTCAGTACCTGAAGGCCACGTCCAGCCAGTGGCCCAAACCTGCCAACTCTACCTCCTAATTCGCTATCAAATCAGTCGCCTCCTCTCCATGCCTCACAACCACTACATCAGCAGTAACTACCATGGATTGAGTGGGAGCTGAGTCAGACCCTATGCGGGGCACCTGACAGTGACTCCATGTGGGGACTGTGGGGACAGTCACTCAAGCAAGACCCCTGGAAGGGCAGCCTTGGCCTTGTTTTAGAGAGGAGAAACCGAGGCTCAACAACTCCAAGTGATTTGCCCAAGCTCCCACAACTAGTGGCTGAGGCAGAAGGAGAATTCAAGTCCCCTTGATTCCCAAAGGCCACCCTGAGACCCTCTCCTACCAGCTGCCTGGACTCTTATTCCCCAAGCCCGTTGTCGAAGCAAACTCAGACCCCAATTCAGGTATGTCACTCTTTGCTCTGCCTCCTCCATGGCACCCCACAAGTCTATCCACCAGGAACCAAGCCTTCCCCCAGCCTCTGAGCACCTCCAGAGTCCCCACCACTCCTGTTTGCTCAGCCAACTCCAAATGCTTCAGTCCCACTTACACTTGGCTATTACTATGCCTTCATCCTCTGTGCCTGGAATTCCTGATCCCTCCTTTCCCCTGGCTAATTTCTGTTTATTCTTAGAGGGGGCAGTTCAGGCAGCCCCTTGGCCTCCCTAATCTCTTCAACCTGGGGTAATTACTCATCCTCTTGTGGTGATGTTACATGCTGTTGAGTCAGTTCCAACTCATAGTGACCCTGGATAGGGTTTCCAAGGAGCGGCTAGTGGGTTTGAACCACCAACCTTGTGGTTAGCAGTCCATTGCTTATCCTACACCACCATACCAGGACTGCATCCTGGAGTGTCCCATAATTCCTTCCCATAATCCTCTCATCTGTAATTCGCTGTGCATGACTACCTGTAACACAATATAGTGAACATAGGGGTTCTCTCTGAATCTCTGCACTTGGCTCCTGGAAGCCTAAGACTACATTTGTTCATTTATGCTAGAGGCACCTTGGAAGAAAGACCTGGCGAACTACTTCCTAAAGGTCACAGCCTTAAAAACTCTATGGAGTACAGTTCTACTCTGCACACATGGGGTCAACAGCAACTAGTTTGCTTTTTGAATTTTAGTGCCTATATAGGGCCAGGCATGTAGTTGGTTTTTTAAACAAATGAAAGGGTGAATTTGGGCTCCTAGGAGAAACTTTCTGGTTCTGAGACTGTTGGTTAGATGAACTTGAACTCTGAGGAAGCAGTGGCAGTTGTGCCCATGAAACATCTTCAGATGAGTGGCTTTCCAGGAGAGCCCCCTTCCATGTAAAGAAAGGTGCTCTGAGGTGCCAGGTGCCAATGAAACCTGTTGCTCCTGTTCTCCTGGGTGCTGAGTGGCATTTGGCACTGCTAACCACACCCTCCTCGAAACTGCCTTCTCTTGCTTTTCAAGACCCCCTGGTTTGCCCTCTCAGCCATACCTTCAATGCCATCTCCTTTTCCTCTTCCCAATTTCAAACTGTCCAGGTTTCAAAACTATCTGTGCTGACCATGCTTATATATAGAGCCCCCGCCTGGATCACTCCCCTGGGCACACATCTCTCCATCCATCTGCCTTCCTGACTTGTCCAAATGGAACTTTCAGTCAGTTCCTGCAAAATACGTGCACCTACCCACGTGCTTCGAGTCCTGGTGTGGCACTGTGGGTTAATGCATCAGACTTCAAAGTCGTTTGAACTGTAAGGTTGGCGGTTCGAGCTCACCAGCTGCTCCTCGGAAACCCTTACAGGGTCACTATGGGTCAGAATCGACTCGACGGCACTTTACAACAACACAACACCGAGGTGCTTCATTCCTGGTATCCGGCATGTGTGCCACAAAAATTGGGGAATGAATGAATAAGGAAGAGCAAACTCTTAAGTAAAGAAATATATAAGGTTGGCAGTTCCAACACAAGAGAAAGAGGAGGCTTTCTGCTCTGGTAAAGACTTACAGCCTTGGAAACCCTATGCAAGGTTACTACGAGTTGGAACCAACTCCACGGCACTTAGTATCAACAACCCATGTGCTCCAGCCAGAAAACTGTTCCTCCAACCCCCACTCTCACTTCCACAGCCCCCAATCCATAGGCCCCCAATCCTTAGCTCTAACTCATTCTTTCTCTCCATACTATCATTATCCTCATCCAGGCTGCCTTCATCTCTTGCCTAGACTAGATAGTCGCTTCTTGATCAGTCTGTGGGATTGTACTCTTAGCTCTCTTGGAGTCATTTGGCCCCCAGCAGCCAGAGGAAGCTTTAAAAAATGTACTAGACCCTTTCATGACTTCCTTTTGCTCTGAGGCCAATACCAGAATCCCATTGGAGTGCTGCAAGATCTTGCCTAACACCTAGGCTTTGCTGGCCTCCCCAGCAACAACTTAAGTTTTCTTTCTCTTCCAGTCTCCTCTAGTTTCTCCAAATTGCTAGGTTTTCTTCCCCAAGCCTCTTTACACATGCTGTTCTATTCCATTTCCCCTCTGATCTTAGTTTAACTGTCCTCTCTTCACAGGAGTCATCTGGAATCATCCTTTCCCAGAGGTCTGCCTTCTCTTCTCTTCTTTTCTCTCACTGTCCTGTTTGTTCCTCCTGAACTCCTTATAGTTCACAAATCTCTGGTTATTTCTACACAGCGATGTTGCCAGGCTGTCTCTCTTTCTATAGACTGCATGTTCCCGAGGGCAGGAAAGATAACTCCCTTGTTCATGTTTGCACTTCAGAGCTGGGCACAGTTTCTGGTATCCAGCCATTGTGCCACAAAAATTGGGGAATGAATGAATAAGGAAGAGATAAAATGAGTACAAAGCTAGGATGTTTTTGATGTAAGAACGTGAGAGTAGTAGGAATGGACATGGGAAAGTAGAGATTCTAAAACTGTACTGTCCAATATGGTAGTGTCTACTGTAATGGACATTGTAGATAAAGAACATTTACATTGTGCTAGATAGTTCTATTGGACAACAGCTCTCTAAAAAAAAAATAGGGTAAAATCCATTGACATTTTCCCCACCTCAACCTTAAGGGACCAGGTTGGGTGGGGTGGGGTATAAATAAGATTTAATTAAGTTGGTCCAGGAGCCCTTTGTAGGATAAGACTGGACTGCTAACCACAAGGTCAGTAGTTCAAACCCACCCAGAAAGAGAGACAGCCTGGCAACATCGCTGTGTAGAAATAACCAGAGATTTGTGAACTATAAGAAGTTCAGGAGGAACAAACAGGACAGTGAGAGAAAAGAAGAGAAGAGAAGGCAGACCTCTAGGAAAGGAGGATTCCAGATGACTCCTCTGAAGAGAGGACAGTTAAGTGGCCCTATGCAAGACAGCCACTCTCAGAAGCCCTATATAGGGTCTCTAAGAGTCAGAACCGACTCAACAGCACTTAACAACAACAAAAGTTGGTTCAGAGCCCCTGGGTAGTAGAAATGGTTGATTTTCTCAGCTACTAACCAAAAGGTTGTTGGTGTGCGCTTACCCAGAGGCACCTAGGAAGAACGGCTTGACGATCTAATTTTTAAAACTCAGCAATGAAATCCCTACTGAGTACAGTTCTACTCTGACACACATAGGCTCCCCATGAGTCAGAATCGACTCTATGGCAACTGGTTATGTTGGTTCAGTTTTGATCGGGGGTGACCAGGAGGTCACACTTGTCGCTAACCCCGCCAGACTCTGGCCAGCTAGTCGAGAGGGAGCAGCTTGAGGAGCCCCTGGGACCATTTTGTGGTGGTCTGACTCCCTCGCTCCCGCGTGTAAACCTCGGGCAGTGTTTATTTGGCCCCAGGATCCTGGTTGCCCACCTCCTCCCCAGTCTCCTCTGGGCCCTTTTGGTTCTCGACCCCACTCGGTGAAGTCCATACTACAGAACCAAGTAGACGTGGAGCGCCCCTTCCTCTGGCAACCCGGGTGAGGTGGGGGCTCTACAATACTCCCTCGCGCATCCTCCCAGGGACTAGAAAGGGAGGGCTGGGGAACTTCCTCTGGGGGCGCGTGGTGGAGGAGCACTCGGATGGGTCCCGCAGAGGCGCAGGGCCTTCACCCTGCCGCCCCCCAACACCGCCCGCAGGGACCCCCGTCCCCCATCGCCCGACCCCTGCCCGGAAGCTCCGGGAGGGGGCGCCCCGCC